GATGTGAGCGTCACGCACCTTCCCTGACCGGCCAACAATGACGAAGTGTCCTCAGTGATCCACCAGCTCTTCCGTAGCCACAGAAAAGTAGCCCTTTTTGTTCTCTTGAGCGAGGTGGTGTGATGCCAAAATAGGGATGTGTGTTCCTTCTGTTGCTCCGCCGCAGTTCGGGAACCCCACTGCCGCAATCCATCCATGATGTCCTGCACATTGCAGAAAATCACAGTCCTGTGTAGCTGGAGACGATTAATGGCCCCGCACACTTGGATGACAGTGTCCCCCACAGTGGGTTTTCCAGCTCCAAAATGATTTCCCACTGACCAGTAGCAGTGCGGTGTTGCAAGTCTCCCCAGTGTGTTGCAAGTTTCCCCAGCCTTCCACATCTGAAAGTTCTGTAGCCACTTCTCTTCATCCTAAACCTGCATTATGATGTAATCATAATCATATCATAATCATATGATGTGGATAAATTGGAGAGAGTCCAGCGAAGGGCAACAAAAATGATTAGGGGTCTGGAACACATGAGTTATGAGGAGAGGCTGAGGGAACTGGGATTGTTTAGCCTGCAGAAGAGAAGAATGAGGGGGGATTTGATAGCTGTTTTCAACTACCTGAAAGGGGGTTCCAAAGAGGATGGCTCTAGACTGTTCTCAATGGTATCAGATGACAGAACGAGGAGTAATGGTCTCAAGCTGCAGTGGGGGAGGTTTAGATTGGATATTAGGAAAAACTTTTTCACTATGAGGGTGGTGAAACACTGGAATGCGTTACCTAGGGAGGTGGTAGAATCTCCTTCCTTAGAGGTTTTTAAGGTCAGGCTTGACAAAGCCCTGGCTGGGATGATTTAACTGGGAATTGGTCCTGCTTTGAGCAGGGGGTTGGACTAGATGACCTTCTGGGGTCCCTTCCAACCCTTATATTCTATGATTCTATGAATCCCACCAATCCGTGCTTGTTTCTCGGGCCCAGAAGTGGCGCTCCACCATCTGCAGCTGCTCCATGATTGCCACCAACAACCTGGAATTGGTTCTCGCTATGTCTCACAGCAATCTGTCCTTTTCTGCTGATTCGGTTCTTCATATGACTGCAAATACGGGAGGATCGTGCATCCTGTGCTTGCAACGCTCATGACAATAGTGCAGAGCTGTGCAGGCTCCATTCTTCTGTAAGACATGGCAGACAGCAAGGAGAGCCATGTGGGTTTGTGGCATTTTAAAAAAAAGTTGTGAAAATTATGGGATATAGATAACATTATGGGATAGAGACCGTTGCACGCTGGCAAGTTGAACCCTTGCTCCCAGTCAACCCTACTCAACTCATTTCTGCCCTACTATGCACTGTCAAAACTTCCCAAAAGACAGGGCCCTGGACAGGTTGCACACTGCGATACTTACCATGGTGCGCCGCACTGTGTATTGTCACCAGGAGCACCTGTGTCTACGTGCAGTGCCGACGCAAGTATCCACATACATAAGTGATCTACTAACTGCGGTGACCTTATACTAATGTAACTTGCGTCAACCAAAGTTTGTAGCGTAGTCATGGCCTTAGTCCCTGATATATTGCCAGGATGGCATCCATCACACAGCCACTCAAGATACATCTATAAGGCAACTAGACGCCCATGGCTGGCCTGTGCCAGCTGGAGTCCAAGGGTCCCAGAGCTCAGGCTCCAGCCCAAGCCTGGAAGTCTACACAGCCATGAAACAGCCCCACAGCCCAAGTCAGCTGGCATGGGCCCGGCATGGGTTTTTCTTTGCTGCATAGACCTTAAGGGTACATCCCTAACATAGGGTCCTGATCTTGTTTGAAGCCTCTAGGTAGCTACTGCCATAGAAATAGTAATAATGTAGCTGCAGTTCTCACGCCTTCTCTCACTAACTTTTCTTTTATCTGGCTGAACTTACAATTGGCTCCCCTATTGCAGTGCATTGACTTTCCTTGGAGCAGAGAGAAGGATTGTTCAGGGGTTAGGGCACAAGCCTCGAACTTGGGAGAACAGAATTCTGCTCTGCCACAGACTCCCGACATGATCTCAGGGGTGGAGGGATGGCTTAGTGGTTTGAGCATTGGCCTTCTAAACCCAGGGTTATGAATTCAGTCCTTGATGGGGCTGTTATAGGGATCTGGGGCAAAAATTGGGGATTGGTCCTGCTTTGACAGGGGGTTGGACTAGATGACCTCCTGAGGTCCCTTCCAACCCTGATATTCTATGAAGTCAATTGGCTTTTGTGTGCCTCAGATCCCTATATGTACTAATACTTCCCTTCTGCACCAGAGTGTTGTGAGGATAAATGCATCAAACACTTTGAGATCTACTGATGAAAAGCACTATATAAGAAATAGGTATTATTCGATCTGCTGGGTACTCATCAGGAGTAGGGACCAGGTCAACCTCCAAAGGTTCTGAGGTTTAGTTCCTTAAGCATCAATATCTGGATACCTCTATGAATTTCTGGAATCTGGGAAATATCACAAGGAGAGGGTTTTGGTCATGTGGTTTGGCACTTCCAGTTTCATCTGGATACAACTATGCCTTTCTGTTGCACCCTCCATCTGAGAATCATTAAGTGTATTACAAACACTTAGGGACCCATGCAAAGGAGAAAGTAGATATGCAGAATGTACCTCCCTGCATCAAGACTTGCTGAATTGGAACATCTCTCCAGAAACTTATTTAAGACCAGTGATCTTTAACAGCAATGAATGCTTCTTATGGACTAAGGAGGAAGCACGGTTTTGTGGTTAAGCCAGAAACCTGGAAAGTAGAAGATCAGGTTTATATTCCTGGCTCTGCAAAAGACTTGGGATGTGCCCTTGAAGAAGTCACTTAACTTCTCAGTGCCTTTGTTTCCACCTCTATAAAATTAGGATAGCACTTCCCTACATCTCAGAGTTGGTGTGAGGCGCTGGAATAGATGGGGCTATTAAAATAATGGGTATGGAAGTTCACCTTCTTCGGGAAACAGAGGGGTGCTGAGATTTCTCATGTATGTTTCAGCCTCAAACTGATTCTGCCTACTCCTTTAGTAGCCGCTTTCAGTCCTTCCATAGCTGGGATGTAGACACCAAGTGCCTGGTTTCTTTCAATCTGCCTGGCCCCGCTGTCAATTTGCTTCTTCCGCACGGAGTACACAAGCTGGGCATATCTCAGCTGGCACGCAGAAGGGGCAGCCCTTGATCCCAGTCTCATTCACCCTTCAAAACTCCAGTCGCTTGGCTGACATGGAAGCAAACACCAGCCAGATTCCTTGGCACAGGACCTGGAGCAGCCCCATAACCTGGCACTGGGAATGGGGAGGGGCAGCCCCCCCGCCTGGAAGCCAGCACTGGGTGGCGGGGGTATCTCAGCCCTCCGGCACTGGGCGAGACCCGAGCCAAGCGCCCTGGGACTGCGGAGGAGGGTCCAGGAATTTAGCCTGCCGCCCCCGCACTGGGTGAGGGGCAGCCCCCGATCCCGATCCCCCCGCACTGGGCTGGAGGGGGGCAGTCCCCGAGCGCGGCCCCCGCCCCCGGCACTGATCTGGAGGGGTATAGCCCCGATCCCGACTCCCCCGCCCCGGCACTGGGCTGGAGGGGGACAGCCCCCGAGCTCGGCCCCCGCCCCCCGGCACTGGGCTGGAGGGGACAGCCCCCGAGCTCGACCCCCGCCCACGGCACTGGGCTGGAGGGGAGCAGCCCCCGATCCCGATCCCCCCGCACTGGGCTGGAGGGGGGCAGTCCCCGAGCGCGGCCCCCGCCCCCGGCACTGATCTGGAGGGGTATAGCCCCGATCCCGACTCCCCCCCCGGCACTGGGCTGGAGGGGGACAGCCCCCGAGCTCGGCCCCCGCCCCCCGGCACTGGGCTGGAGGGGGACAGCCCCCGAGCTCGACCCCCGCCCACGGCACTGGGCTAGAGGGGGGCAGTCCCCGTTCCCGGCCCCTCCCGGCACGGGGCTGGAGTGGGCAGCCCCAGAGCTCGGCCCCCGCCCCCGTCACTGGGCTGGAGGGGGGCAACCCCCGAGATCGGCCCCCCACCCGGCACTGGGCTGGAGGGGAGCAGCCCCCGAGCCCGCCCCCCCCCCGGCACTGGGCTGGAGTGGGCAGCCCCCGAGCTCGGCCCCCGCCCCCGGCACTGGGCTAGAGGGGGGCAACCCCCGAGATCGGCCCCCCACCCGGCACTGGGCTGGAGGGGGCAGCCCCCGAGCCCGCCCCCCCGGCACTGGGCTGGAGGGGGCAGCCCCCGAGCCCGCCCCCCCGGCACTGGGCTGGAGTGGGCAGCCCCCGAGCTCGGCCCCCGCCCCCGGCACTGGGCTGGAGGGGGAAGCCCCCGATCCCCCCCCCCCGGCCCTGGGCTGGAGGGGGCAGCCCCCGCCCCCGGCACTGGGCTGGACTGGGGCAGCCCCCGAGCTCGGCCCCCCCCGGCACTGGGCTGGAGGGAGCAGCCCCCGAGCCCCCCCCCCGGCACTGGGCTGGAGGGGGGCAGCCCCCGAGCCCGCCCCCCCCGGCACTGGGCTGGAGGGGGCAGCCCCCGAGCCCCCCCCGGCACTGGGCTGGAGGGGGCAGCCCCCGAGCCCCCCCCCCCGGCACTGGGCTGGAGGGGGCAGCCCCCCCCCCCGGCACTGGGCTGGAGGGGGCAGCCCCCCCCCCCCCACGGCACTGGGCTGGAGGGGGCAGCCCCGATCCCCCCCCCCGGCACTGGGCTGGAGGGGGCAGCCCCCGATCCCCCCCCCCGGCACTGGGCTGGAGGGGGCAGCCCCCGATCCCCCCCCCGGCACTGGGCTGGAGGGGGCAGCCCCCGATCCCCCCCCCCCGGCACTGGGCTGGAGGGGGCAGCCCCCGAGCTCGGCCCCCGCCCCCGGCACTGGGCTGGAGGGGGCAGCCCCCGATCACCCCCCCGGCACTGGGCTGGAGGGGGCAGCCCGCTGGCACTGGGCGGGGGCCGGGGTGGGCGGAGCGGGCGGCTCTAGGACCCGGCGGCGCTGCCGGCTCCCCGGGGGGCCGGGAGGAGGCTGCCACCTGCCCGCCCGCCCCGCACTCCCGCGACGATGCTGCCGCGGGTCGGTCGCTGCCGCCCGGCTCCGGCCGCCTGGCTCCGGCTGCTGCTGCTGGCGGCGGCGCTGGCGCGGCCGGCGCTGCCCGAGGTGCTGTTCCGCTGCCCGCCCTGCTCCGCCGAGCGCCTGGCCGCCTGCGCCCCGGCCGCCGCCTGCCCGGAGTTGGTGCGGGAGCCCGGCTGCGGCTGCTGCCCGGTCTGCGCCCGCCTGGAGAGCCAGTCGTGCGGGGTGTACACGCCGCGCTGCGCCGCCGGGCTGCGCTGCTACCCGCACCCCGGCGCCGAGCTGCCGCTGCAGGCGCTGGTGCAGGGCCAGGGCACCTGCGCCCGGAGACGGGACGCCGCCGAGTACGGGGCCAGCGCCGAGCCGGGCGCAGGTGAGCGGAGCCGGGGGGGGCGGGACAGCGGGGGGGGAGCGCAGGTGAGGGGAGCCGGGGGGGGGGGCGGGACAGCGGGGGGGAGCGCAGGTGAGGGGAGCCGGGGGGGGCGGGACAGTGGGGGGGGGGAGCGCAGGTGAGCGGAGCCGGGGGGGGCGGGACAGCGGGGGGGAGCGCAGGTGAGGGGAGCCGGGGGGGGGGGGCGGGACAGCGGGGGGGGAGCGCAGGTGAGGGGAGCCGGGGGGGGGGGCGGGACAGCGGAGGGGGAGCGCAGGTGAGGGGAGCCGGGGGGGGGGCGGGACAGCGGGGGGGGAGCGCAGGTGAGCGGAGCCGGGGGGGGCGGGACAGCGGGGGGGGAGCGCAGGTGAGGGGAGCCGGGGGGGGGCGGGACAGTGGGGGGGGAGCGCAGGTGAGGGGAGCCGGGGGGGGGGCGGGACAGCGGGGGGGAGCGCAGGTGAGGGGAGCCGGGGGGGGCGCAGGTGAGGGGAGCCGGGGGGGGGGACAGCGGGGGGGGCGCAGGTGAGGGGAGCCGGGGGGGGCGGGGGAGCGGAGGGGGAGCGCAGGTGAGGGGAGCCGGGGGGGGGGCGGGACAGCGGGGGGGAGCGCAGGTGAGCGGAGCCGGGGGGGGCGGGACAGCGGGGGGGAGCGCAGGTGAGGGGAGCCGGGGGGGCGGGACAGTGGGGGGGGAGCGCAGGTGAGGGGAGCCGGGGGGGGGGCGGGACAGCGGGGGGGAGCGCAGGTGAGGGGAGCCGGGGGGCGCAGGTGAGGGGAGCCGGGGGGGGACAGCGGGGGGGGCGCAGGTGAGGGGAGCCGGGGGGGGGGACAGCGGGGGGGGCGCAGGTGAGGGGAGCCGGGGGGGGCGGGACAGCGGGGGGCGCAGGTGAGGGGAGCCGGGGGGCGCAGGTGAGCGGAGCCGGGGGGACAGCGGGGGGGAGCGCAGGTGAGGGGAGCCGGGGGGCGTAGGTGAGGGGAGCCGGGGGGCGGGACAGCGGGGGGGAGCGCAGGTGAGGGGAGCCGGGGGGGCGCAGGTGAGCGGAGCCGGGGGGGGACAGCGGGGGGGAGCGCAGGTGAGGGGAGCCGGGGGGCGCAGGTGAGGGGAGCCGGGGGGGCGGGACAGCGGGGGGCAGCGCAGGTGAGGGGAGCCGGGGGGGTGGGACAGCGGGGGGCCACAGGTGAGGAGGGCGGGACAGCGGGGGTGGGAGCGCAGGTGAGGGGATCCGGGGGGGCGGGACAGCGGGGGGGAGCGCAGGTGAGGGGAGCCGGGGGGCGCAGGTGAGCGGAGCCGGGGGGGGCGGGACAGCGGGGGGGAGCGCAGGTGAGGGGAGCCGGGGGGCGCAGGTGAGGGGAGCCGGGGGGGGGTGAGACAGCGGGGGGGGAGCGCAGGTGAGGGGAGTGGGACAGTGGGGGGCGCAGGTGAGGGGAGCCGGGGGGGTGGGACAGCGGGGGGGGGCGCAGGTGAGGGGAGCCGGGGGGCGCAGGTGAGGTGAGTGGGACAGTGGGGGGGGCGCGCAGGTGAGGGGAGCCGGGGGGGCGCAGGTGAGGGGAGCCGGGGGCGCAGGTGAGGTGAGTGGGACAGTGGGGGGCGCGCAGGTGAGGGGAGTGGGGGGGCGGGACAGCGGGGGGGACGCAGGTGAGGGGTGGTGAGGGGAGCCCGGGACGCGCAGGTGAGGGGAGTGGGACAGCGGGGGGGCGCGCAGGTGAGGGGGGCGGGACAGTAGGGGGGCACGCAGGTGAGGGGAGCGGGGGCGGGACAGTGGGGGGCGTGCAGGTGAGCGGAGTTGGGGGGGCGCGACAGCGGGGGGGGCGCAGTTGCCCGGAGCCCAGGAGGGTGGGATGGTGGGGGGGGGCATGTGAGGGGAGTTGGGCTGTGGGACCCCGGTGGGGTGAGGTGTGGGGGTGTGGGTGTGCATGTGAGGGGATCCCAGTGGGTTGAGGGAAGCTGAGATGAGGGGGAACCTGGAGGGGCAAGTGAGGGGAGTCTGAGGGGGCGGGGGCACTCCAGTGGGGCGAGGAGGACCCCAGTGGGGGAGGGGAGACAGGCTGAGGGGGAACCTGGGGGTTGGGTGAGGAGAGCTGAGGGGGAAGGGGACCCCAGTGGGGTGAGGCTGTCCAGGTGAGGGGGAACTTGGGGGGTGAGTGAGGAAAGCTCACTGTGGGCGAGCCAGGGGATGCAAGTGAGAGGGACCCCAGTGGGGAGAAGGGAGCTGAGGCAGGGAGACCCTGGGGGGGGGCAGGTGAGGGAGATCTCAGTGTGGTGAAGGGAGCTAGGCTGAGGGGGAGTCCAGGGGGGTGGCTCAGGGGAAGCCCGAGGGAGGGGTAGTGAGGGGAGCTGGGCTGATGGGGAGCCTGGGGAGTGGATGAGGGGAGCCGGGGGGGCGTGACTACTGAGGGGAGCAATGAAACAGCTCCAAGTTGGCTGGCATGGGCCAGTAGTGGGTTTTTCTTTGCTGTGTAGACATACGCTGAGGGTACATTGCTAACACAATGGCTGTGTCTACACTGCCACTTTCAGTACTAAAACTTTAGTCGTTCAAGGTTGTGAAAAAACACCCCCCCCCCCCAAAGCGAAAAAAGTTTTAGTGCTGAAAAGCACCATTATAGACAGCGCTTTATCGCTGGGATAAGCTACCACCCTTCGTTAGGAGTGGTTATTTTTTATCACTGGGAGAGCTCTCCCCCGGGGATAAAGCGCGTCTACATTGCCCATGTCACAGTGCTGCCTGATCTTGTTTGGAGCTTCTAGGTAGCATAAAGTGTGTAAAGATCTTTAGAAAGCCAGAACTCTTGAGAACACTGTTGATGTGAAATCTTGCTCAGCTTAAAGAAAACAAATGTCAATAGTCTGATTTTACACTCTCCAGAAAATTGTGGACACTTAGGTTTGTCATCTCGAGTTGACTTTCCAGTGTTTACTTGTGCTGTTAGAAGGGGGAGAGGGAGAGAAAAGCACAATAACTTCTGTACAAATGTAAGTGTAAGTAAGGGGTTTCCTTACTGAATGCTGTTTTCTTGCATTTGTGGGTTTCTCTCAGAGCTTTTGTTACTTCAGTGGGGTTTTTTGTCTGGTTTTAAGTTTCTTGTTTCCTTGCAGTTTGTGCAATTTTTTATATATATACATACAGACACACACACACACATGCACGCACACACAATAACAAATTTTAAAAACACTTTAGTGCTCTGTATGTGTTACTCTGTAATGCCCATAGGGATAAATAATGGCAAATGGAGCAGAATAAAGCATGCTGTTTTAATACTCAGAGCTGAGCATGTCTTTGCAAAAGGAGTTGGACATCCTCTTGCACCAAAGAGAGAAGGATTCAGTCATTTCGAGCTGCATAAGTTTTAACAGGTTGTTGCAACCATTGCGGGGGAGTTCCTAATAGCAGAAAAAACTGTCAGCTTCCCCTGATGTTCTTTTGTTGAAATTCATACTGTACCTTCTAGCTGCAACATGCGCCCAAAATAAGGATGGAAGAGGTTTGTTTTTCCATTTCAAACAGTAACAGAGAACCATGAAATTCATTCTGCTCAGTTCTCAAGTTTGAGGAGTTGGGGAGAATCAAATTCTCTTTCAGCCGCTGATGTCAAATAGTTTGAAGCATGCTGTGTTGTGAGAGCAGTTTTCTCTTGCAAAAAGGCAGGTGCTGATCCTTCCTTTTTATGCATTTCAAGGAATTCACCCTGTCTTCACCCTTCCAGTTTGAAAAGTCTCCTTTTGCTGGTTGGGGATTGGAATGTGAAACTCGTATGTTGCTCTTTAAATTAGAGGGTTGGCAAGTTATTTTATATCTGATGAGAGGCAGGAAGGTTGCCCAAGTGAAACAAGGAATAAGACTCTGAAAATTCTCCTGCTGTGGGATCCAGCATTGTTTAGTCTTCCACTTAGGTCTGCGATGCCAATCCAGAAATGGTTGTAAGCAGAAAGAAACATAAACCACCACACAGCTAGGAAACGTGCAGCGCTGCTCGTTGCACAAGGGGTTTGGAGTAATTTGAAGCTGTTGGGAATGTCGGAAGAAAATAGCAGTCAGTGAAAATCTGTGTGAGAATTTATAGATGCACCCTTGGGGCCTGATGCCACAGAGTGCGGAGTGCTCTCAACTCCCACAGAAGCTGGAAGCTGAGATGCTCAGCCCCTCGCAGGATCTGGTCTGCAGCAATAGTTTTGATGCCATTGAAATTGTACTCTTCTTTTACAGTTTATTTTACATCATTTTATAGTAAATTTTACGCTCTGCTCACTGTAACTGTATAAGCTAGGGAATAAATTTGTTGCCATCTATCTAAAGTGCTTATATGGCTCCCACCATATCTGAGGATCTCAGAATCTTTAACACATATATCCTTACAGCATCCTTGGGAGGTAGTTAAAATGCTGTTATCTCCATTTTACAGATGGGAAACCAAGGTACAGAGAGACTGAGTTGCCCAAAGTCACACAGGAAGCCTGTAGCAGAGCAGGGATTTGAACCTGGGTCTCCCAAAGGCCAATATAGCTAGACCATTCTTATTCTCTGATCGCTGTTCTAAAGACCATATGAAATGATTTGGTGAGTTTCAGTCTATTTCTGAGAGGATGAGTGTCCAGATTGCTGTTTTTATTGAAATGTCTTTAGCCTTCCAGATCTTTCACAGTTTTCCAGAGGCTGTAGCAGCTAGTCTGATTCTTCTTATCATCTTTACAATTCTCATTCTTCAGTACTAGTCCTCCAAGGTCTGCAATTTTTTCCATTTCTTCTAGTTCTTTGTCTCTGAGTTTGACCTTTATCTCTTTCTTTTATCTTCTAGTGGTCATAAGTTTTGTCTTCTCTGTGCTGATCTTCAAACCAAATTTTCTGCTTTTCCAGTCTACCTGGTCAGTTGTTATCTGTAAATCTTCCTCGGTCAAAGCTGTGACGTCAATATCATTTCGTGAATCTACAAACAAAAATCAGCATACAGGAGACGACTGCCATGCTGATAACCGTTGTATCGGTTGGAATGCGGAAGTATGAGGA